TTTAGAATAAAATATAATATTTAGATTAAAAAATAGTATTTAGATTAAAATATAATAATTTTATAATAAGGAAAAATTAGAAAAATAGTATTTTCGGGAATTTTTAACGTAGGTGTTAATTCGTTTGGACAGTTTGGGTGGATCTAAATAGTGTATTTAGTTTATAAGAACTTTTGGCAATAAATAAAACAAAATTTCCAGATGTTGGAGATTTGATCTTCAAAAAAAAATGTTTTTTTTTTCTTCAGCCCAGTTACACCAAAATCGCCCCCCTCCCCATTAAACACCTCAGTTGCGCCTCTGAATTTGAATTTCAAGTGGAGAGTCTTAATTTATAGAATTTAACAGATTTGATCTTAAACTAGAGTCAGATTTCTAGCTATAATTCCTTGAAAAGTATTTCAAGAATGGAGAGAAAAGTTCAAAGAATAGCGGAACTAGGATTAGTTCCGTGTTGGAGGATGCCGGAACAAGTTCAAAGAATGGCGGAATTTGAAATAGAGGATGGCGGAATTAGTTCAAAGAATATAGAAATAGAGAAACTAGGATTAAAAAATGGCGGAATTAGTTCAAAAAAAGGCGGAACTAGGAGTTGAGGATGGCGGAATTAGATCAAAGAATAGAGGGCGGAATTGGATCAAAGAATAGAGAACCTAGGATTAGTGGATGGCGGAATTAGGTAAAAGATTATATAGAGGAACAAGGATTAGTGGATGGCAGAATTATATCAAAGAATAGAGGTACAAGGATTACATAATGGCGGAATTAGATCAAAGAATAGAGGAACTAGGATTAGAAGATGGCGGAATTAGTTCAAAGAATGGCGGATCTAGGATTAGAGGATTGCGGAATTAGTTCAAAGAATGGCGGAACTAGGATTGAAGGAAACCGGAAGAATATGAGGAAAATATTGCATATCTTTAACCATAAATTCTTCTTCACATCCTGACTATGAAACCTCGGTATAAATAAAAAACGCGAAGAATATAAAAACAGTTGGGAAATAAAATTCATAAAATATTTATATTTTAACACTCGTGTATTTATTCCATCTGTTGTCATGTAAATAAAAGATACTTCAATAGCTGGAACAACTTTGAAATACCTTCTTTCGTTTTCTGCCTTCATTTAAAGTTTAAAGCTAAAAATGAAATAAGTGTGCCTAGAAATTAAAATGTTAGGATAAAAGAGTAAAAGGATTTATTGAGCAATTACATAAATACTTTAAGTCATTAGAAATTCTAAATAATAGATATCAAAATCTTTCTATATATATTTAAAAATCCCCCAGAAGTTCTGTTTAATAATAATAATAATAATATTTGGCTAATCAAAGGAGGTTATAGTGTGGAGGCCGGACTCTGTACAAATGTACGCGAAACTTTGACTAGAGCCCAAAACTTAAGACAGCTTATTGTTATGAGAACCAGTTTTAAAACCCGGGTTTCATGAATGGGGTCAGGCAGTTTTATGAAAATCAATATTTTTTTTATGAACTATATTTTTATATTCTCCATTTTTCCGAATCTCTTAGAGTAGATCAAAATCTACAGAATTGTTAAGACCCCAAAAAGGAAACTCGGGAGTTTCGTTGAATGAGTTTCTTTTAAGTTTTGCCCCCAGAGCACAAAACTTAAGACAGGGTATCGTTATGAATACCAGTTTTGGAACCCGAGTTTCACGAATGGGGTTGGTCCGTTTTGTGGAAATCAACATTTTTCTTAAAAAATATGATTTTATTTAGTTTCTTCATATCCTCAATTTTTTCGAATAGCCTTAAATCAAAATCTACACAAATGTTAAGACCCAAATAAGAAAACTCTTGAGTTTCGTTCTACGATACTCTTTTAAATTTCGGGCTTTGAACAAAGTTTTGTAAAGTTACTATCTTGCCACTAAAGTTCCGTGCAGGGGCTTTTAAAAAAAGTTTGTTGTATAGAAAATTAGAAATTAAAAAATACTTAAAATTGCACGCAGATTTACGCAGCTTGATGTCTGTCGATTGGATTATTTTTGTTTGAAATAAACGACAAAACGGCTGAACCGATCAGCCCGTAGTTGTTTGTGGTATAAACTTATCTGACCCAATGAAAGTTTTGACTGGTCGGAGTTTAAAAATCTTGCCTCAAAATAAATCAGATTTAAAAACAAAATTAAAATCCACTGATGAAAATAGGAAAATCTGCTAATTTATGTTAGCTATCATTTCAAAATAAACGACTTGCATGCAGAATATTTAAATTAAAAACACAAATATAAATCAAAAATTCATGCATGATAAGTTGTAAACCACTTTCTGTCTGATTGCGGATAAATTTGTCAGACTGTAATAACCGAAGAAACCTCACCTTTCTCAAGGAAACCAAATTTTCACTTTTTTTTAAATACGTAAAGTCAAATATTTAATTTTAGTTTTTAGATGTCCTAAATATGTTTTAAACATCTATATTTTATAATTATTTTACTTGACTTTTTATTCTGTTGGTTTGTATCCGATTAAACGTGAAGACGGCTGAAATTATCAGACCTACAAAGTAATTGAATCTTTACCACAAACTCAAATTTTCTAATCCCTATATCGTTTAAACCTGATGGTGTAAACATTTCAAAATTTCAAACTTAGATTTTTTGGATCTAACAGAATTCATAGCTTGAAATATCTAATTTTTTTAGACTACTAATGACAACAGTAAAATCCTCGAAATTTGTCATTTAATTAAAAATGTATCAATTGCATCATCCATTCTTACACATCTTTTATTTACAGTGAGAAATTTCTCTCCTGCCCGTTTGTCGAGTTGTGAATAGTTAAATGATGAATGAAATGTGTTTACTTTATTTCTTTTGTGTCATTTATCAAGCAAATTATAAAAATCATCGTGCAAACATGATGAAACTAAAAAAACAACAAACAACGTAAATCTGATGTGTATCAGAATATTTTCAGTCATATTCTGATCTCTCAGTTTAAATCCGTACACAAAAAGCTTAAGAAACGTTATTTATTTGAATATTTAAAACTGACTACAAAACAGTATACAAATACAATAGCCAAAACGACTACATTTAATGGGTAAAAATGGGTTAAATTTCACTTGACCTTAAACAGGACCTTCCGTTTACCGTGTGTACTGTCCTAAAAAGAGAATACAAAAAGGGGCATGACCGATTTGCAACAATACCCTTTGAACCTTCTCCTAAATATTTATAAATTCCAATTGCAGTTTCTCTAGAAAAGATTTGTGGATTTGTGCAGCAGAGACAAACAGGAAAATTTTCAGAATTCATCACTTTTCCGCACAGAAATATTTCGTTATATTCCTCATTGTTGCTCAGATAAAGGTTTAAAGAATACTGTTGTGAATCGGGCATGCAACTCTTTGAATGGGAATCATTTGAAATTATTGATATCAAGAATGCTTTGCTCCATCAGGTGTAGGAACTATTGTGATTAAAAACTGATGAAAAAGTGTTCATATTTTAATTTGAGAAACAAATTAAGAAATGTCAAAGTTTTGCATCAGAAAGTTTGGATTAAAAAATGTAATTAATATGTGAAAACAAACACACATTAAGGTTCCATATTGAAAACACGATTAATTTAACGGCAAAGGAAGATATAAAATGATTAATTTTCCCACCTGTTAGTCTTCATAATTTGTTAAGCTTCTCTTTCTACCCCCCCTTTCTATTTTTGCGATTGTCTTGTTTTATCATGCAGGACAATATGTTTTTGACCGGGATTTTTACTTTTGCCTTGTTTAAAGATTCAAAATCTTGAGTTCAAACCAACCCCGAAAACAAACAAGAAAGGAAAAATCCCAACAAAAAACATAATTTCCCAAATGATAACACAAAACATTCATATATGAATTTAGTCATTTTTAGTTTCATAAAGATGTGAGATTTTTTTATCAAAATCCGCGAAATAAAAAGAGAAACCTGCTTTGCCGCGGTATAAAATGTTACTTATTGTCCTCGGAACAAATAAGAAACTTTTTATACCCAAGATCATGAAATTGTGAGTAAAACTGGGGTGAAAAAAATTCTCTCAAAATTGAAAAAATATCTTTTTAAAATATTTTAGAAAAGGAATGAAAAGCTGCAACTATTTCCCCAATACATCATATATCTCCCTTAAACCTCAAAATCTGCAGGGAAAATTAAAATAAAGTAAAAGCTCGAACGGGAAAAAAGTCTGAAATTTATACTTCAAATATGCATATTTTTACAAGAAACCGAACATCGTCTCTGTAAAGTTTAAATACGTTAGATTTTGGTTCTTTAAACTTTAAAGCCCAGGATTTTGTTTATATGGAAAACATCAAATTGAATAATTAATACCATGAAAGTATACAGATTATCCTGTTATAAGTTTTGTTTAAGAAATTAATCTGGTGTGATGTAATAATAAGATCTAAGCCTGGTTATAGCATACATGGTATAGGGCCCATTGTATAGACCTGGGTTGGATCCTACGCCACCGCGCACCCTGAGCACACCAAACCAGTCTCCAGTTAGATCAGATCATCCCACTCACTCAGTTCTAGTCCACACCTGGAGTAAACCATCAGACTGAACCCGGAGCTATTAAACCATATCAGTAGTGAAACAAGTCTGTCATCGATGGTTAATAAAAAATGAACCTTGGAGCTAAACTAAGGGGTTGAGAGTGTGGAATGTTTGACCAAAGGGTTTAGTGTATATATCGTCTGCTCAAGGATGGAGTGAAAGTGAATTTTATATACTTGGTTCTATCTCCAGGATTTTTAACAAGCTGAGTTTTACCAGTGTATCCATATATATCAGGATATTAGGGACATAAACCCCTGTGTGTGTCAGTATGACTCAGGAGCGGAGATTAACCAAGTTTCTCATTCTATTCGATAATTCGAACCTTCTCTACTTCCCGGGACAGTTCCTCTCAGGACGTGTAATTGTTGAGCTCCATGATGAGATGGCAATTACAGGTACTTTAATTCAAATTTAAATAAATAGTTCTTATATTTCATAAATGACAAGCTATTTAGGGCGCGTTCTTGTAAAAATTTCTGCTTTTGATTTATTCAATACCTGCATTCTGCAAAAATATTCTTTTCTTCGTTCATTATAAAAAAAGAACAATTTAAAATTTACCAGATTTGTTGGTTTCGTTGATTTCCCAAAAAAATGTTGAGTCAAAAATCAAAATTTCTTAGCTTATACCGCGCGGCCATAAAATTAGTAGTGAGGTCCTTTAAATACTGTTTAACCGATTGTTTTGTCCGTTCTGGATCTGATGATCATTGGATCATACAAACCAAAACAAACATATATGCAAAAAATATAGTAATAGAATATATCTATGTTGTTCTCTGTTCCAAATCTAGGCTTTAAAATCGTTTTAAACCAATTTCAATTTTATTCATGACGTTTGACTATTAACCCCGATATTCTTAAACTGTATCTATATGATCCCTTGACTTAAACTGTATCTATGTGTTCCCTTGACTTAATGTATACTAACATTATGAGGAAACGTGCTCAACTGTAAGCAAGATACTGTATAAAATATCATTCTAGTTTTTTCAACAAATATAAATAAAAGTAAAAATCAGACAAGACAATTTCAGTTTAAAATTAAATATTTCGTCCATACACAATTGGTAACAAGGAAATTACCAAAGAGATTACTAATTAAAGTCTATAAAGGAATAGAGCCTTTATTACAAACTCAGATTTTCTAATCCCTATATCTTGACAGCTCAAGGTCGTTTAAAACTATTAATTCCGTTAGAGAAAATAATGTAACTTTTAAAATATCAAAGGTTTAACACCATTAGAGATGAGAAAATTTTTGTTTGTGGCAAAGATTTAATTCCTTTACTATTACATATTGCTAAATGTAATTTTAAAATATTTTCAAAAACAGAAATATTTGAATTAAAATTTCAGTATATGTTGCTAACTCTTGAATGTCGTGGCAGTTTGGATCTATATGGGATACATCGACATAAACTGGATCTATGTGATCCCTTGCCTTAAACTGTATTTATGTGATCCATCGACTTAAACTGTATCTATGTGTTCCCTTCACTTAAACTGTATCTATGTGATCCCTTCACTTAAACTGGATCTATGTGATCCCATCACTTAAACTGGATCTATGTGATCCATCGACTTAAACTGTATCTATGTGATCCCTTGAATTAAACTGTATCTATGTGATACCTTGCCTTAAACTGTATCTATGTGATCCCTTGCCTTAAACTGTATCTATGTGATCCATCGACTTAAACTGGATCTATGTGTTCCCTTGACTTAAACTGGATTTATGTGATCTCTTGCCTTAAACTGNGAATAAATTTGTATCCCCTCCTAGCCTAGGTTCAGATTGTCTCCCCTCCTATCCTAGGTTCAGCTTGTCTCCCCTCCTATCCTAGGTTCAGCTTGTCTCCTCTCCTATCCTAGGTTCAGCTTGTCTCCCCTCCTATCCTAGGTTCAGCTTGTCTCCCCTCCTATCCTAGGTTCAGCTTGTCTCCCCTCCTATCCTAGGTACCTAGGTTCAGCTTGTCTCCCCTCCTATCCTAGGTTCAGCTTGTCTCCCCTCCTATCCTAGGTTCAGCTTGTCTCTCCTACTATCCTAGGTTTAACTTGTCTCCCCTCATAATCTAGGTTCAACTTGTCTCCCCTCATATCCTTTAGGTTCCTATTACATGGACATCAAAAATATGTCATCAGTAACATGAGGTTAAGTAGGATTTTTGTCAACTATTAAATTGACAAATTGAATGTAATTTTAGCAAACAATGACTTTTCTCGCAAAGATAGATGAAAACCATCTCTTTTAATGGAGAAGATAATCAAGAAGAAATTGTATTTGGAAATGAAAATAATAATGTTTATGAAGCATTGGCATAGGTTAAAAATGTTGTTACTGAAAGTTTCATATTTTATTAATACAGGCTTTCAGGGCCCATCACGCCATGTTGATAATTTGTTACTAGAATATTTAGCAGAGCTTTCTATTTCATTGATTCAATAATCAGAAATTTTTTGGAAATAAATTTAAAAATTTCTGTCAGAAAAACAAGGGTATATAATAAAACTTTGATCAGACAAATGTTTAGAGTGAATCGTTGTAAATTGGACATGTACTGCAGTGTTGAGTTTGTTCTTCCTCCCTCGGATAAATATACTAGACTCAACAATTGGAAAAAACTAGATTTTAATTCTTGTTCAATTCAAAAATGTTTCTTGAAAACCAATCAAAAATATGCAAATCATCATATTTAAATTGCTTCACCTCGGAGATAGTTTTCCCCTGGACTCTAAAGGGACTGTACACTAATTTCAACTGACTCTTCATTTATAGAGTAGCTCCAATTCACAAACATGTTAGCGTCTGTGTATAATATGGATAATGATAACTATAATAATTATGTTTGAAATTGAGGTATACCTGATGAAACACTGTTTAGTGTCTGTGTATGATATGGATAATGATGATTATAATAATAATGTTTGAAAGTGAAGTATACCTGATGAAACACTGTTTAGTGTCTGTGTATAATATGGATAATGATGATTATAATAACAATAATGTTTGAAAGTGAAGTATACCTGATGAAACACTGTTTAGTGTCTGTGTATAATATGGATAATGATGATTACAATAACAATAATGTTTGAAAGTGAAGAATACCTGATGAAACACTGTTCAGTGTCTGTGTATAATATGGATAATGCTTATAATAATAATGTTTGAAAGTGAAGTATACCTGATGAAACACTGTTTAGTGTCTGTGTATAATATGGATAATGATGATTAAAATAACAATAATGTTTGAAAGTGAAGTATACCTGATAAAACACTGTTTAGTGTCTGTATATAATATGGATAATGATGATTATAATAATAATGTTTGAAAGTGAAGTATACCTGATGAAACGCTATTTAACCTTCACCCACTGATGAGGGGAGGATGTTGTGAGCAAGTAAATGGTTTTATTGGAACATAGTTTAGGATGCACACTGAACAGTGTCTCTACACTTTTGAACAGGGTGTACAAAATTGTCACAAATTGTCCCTAAATGTCTCATATTTGTGTACAAGGTGTCCAAAATAAAATTGTGCGAAGTGTACAGTGTTTCATGTAAATATCAAAACATTAGGAGATGGTTTCTAGGTATACACCCTGTACAGTGCATAGGAGTGCTTAGAGTAGGGCCTGGAGATGGTTTCATGTTACACCCTGTAAAGTAAAGTATAGAGTAGGACCTGGAGATGGTTTCATGGTAGTGGTACACCCTGCATAGTGAACAGTATAACATAAAGATGGTTATGCAAGGATGGGACGGAAACTAGGATTCTCACCTTCTCCGGGTTCCAAGGACACATGGATACATTGATCTGTACACGCTACACACTCTCACCTAGACATATCATGATTTAACCAGAGTATTCAAATTTAAGGGGAGAAACAAATTCGGGACGAATCCGTTTACAAAAAGAAAAATACATTTTTGTTCTTTCATTTTGCGTTTACGTTTAAATTTCAGAGATATTTTTACATTGCATATCATGCCCAAAAAAAATTCTTCAAGATCTAAATTAATTTTTAACTCTGTTGGTTTTTAAGAAGAATGACCATTTAAAATATTTAAGTTAATTTTTGACTGAATGCTATATCCTGAAATAATCTATTTTAAATCTTGAATTGTATTCTCTATGCTGCCCCACACCCCAAAAATAATATTTAGTCTTCTCTACCTGGTTCTATGGTTTACAAAAATTACTAGAATATAAAATTAGATTTACCACAAAAATTTTATATTAAAATCCACAAAAAAAGATACCAAGTCTTGTAAACAATCAATAGTTAGGAAACAATGATTACTAAGGCCCGGAACTCCCCCTATTCTGCTTAGGATTACCGATTCTTGTTTACAATCTTTGTTCGTGTTAGTTTACAATAATTTACTACTTTTGCGCTGTTCTAATACGCAAAAAAGAAAGATAAAATCATACAAAAAAAGGTGTTGATATGCAAATAAATATCTTTGCGAAGTAAATAGTAAATCCTCTAAAGTAAACTATAAAATCCGCTAAAGTAAACTGTAAAATCCGCTAAAGTAAATATAAAATCCACTAAAGTAAACTATAAAATCCTCTAAAGTAAATATAAAATCCACTAAAGTTAACTATAAAATCCTCTAAAGTAAATATAAAATCCGCTAAAGTAAACTATAAAATCTGCTAAAGTAATCTATAAATCCTCTAAAGTAAATATAAAATCCACTAAAGTAAACTATAAAATCCACTAAAGTAAATATAAAATCCACTAAAGTAAACTATAAAATCTGCTAAAATAATCTGTAAAATCCTTTAATATATCCAAACTAATTCTAGGTCTCCTGTTCCATGTGTGTGGTGAAGCTGTGGTGAATGTGAATTCTACGCGGGCAGATAGACAGACAGATAAAGAGAATTATATTGACTTCCGGCTTAGATTACTAGGAGAACCAGGTTTACAGCCATATAATTGTGTCATCAGACATACTTCACGAAAATGTCGGGCACACCTACGGTGATAGGCGATTAAATCAGTGAAGACGACTTTTGATTTCAATTCTGATTTATACTATGCTTGTAAATGGCATGGATTCACAAAAACATGGAGAAAAGAGAAGCTGTCAATTAAAAAAGCTTTTTTTAAATTATTTGTAAACTTGTAATTCGAGAAAAAGCTTGTTAACAATGAAAACTTAAATAAAATGTTGTCTTCATTATGTAATCGCCTACCATCGTATTTCACAATAAAGGGGGTTGACAACCTAGGTTTGTCTTTTTTGATTGAGCAAATGATAATTAGTGTTATCACGAGGTGTCAAAGTCCTACCAGTAATTACTTATTTTGATTTGGAGTGGTTAAAACTTAGAAGGCTCTATAAATAATATGTTAGGAAATGTGCAAATATTTTAAGTTTACATTAAAAAATTTTAAATATACAGTTTCAATTGAAAATATTTTTTCGTGTGAATTTTTTAGAATAACTTCTGTATTGTAAATATTGAAATAACTTCCTTATCGTGGTTTAAACAAATACACAAAGAACTGAAAAACAATATTTCAATTGTATTTAATATCCTAGCTCACCTTGAGATCGATACTTTTGTTTGGAGTCTTGTTAATATTGAACATTTGATATCTATATCCCAGTAGACACTTTTAGATTTTAGGATCAACGCTTGATCCATTTTAGTTATCCCTGCAGGGTATGTCCACCACGGAATATTTAAAAGGAATAAAATGAATCCCGTACCTCGTCTGCATAAGATGGAGATTCATGTTTGACTCCGAGATTTACAACACTAAATTTCCAATCTCAGTTCAAACAACCTTCAAACCTTCTACATCGGATCTTTATAGTTTAATCATTAACTTTACATACACTATACTGTACTTTAATTTTATGTACATGGTTACCCACAAAAAATGAGTCTTTGAAACCAGTGTTTTCAAACCAGAAAAACGACCCTATCGTCCAAATCATTGAATCTCCTTGTTTTATCGTAGATCTTCATTCGCCATCTTGTCAAAGTTTTTTGCAACATGTGTTGGGGTCTGCCCTGGAAAAAGGGTCTCCGATGAATATAAGAGAGTGTCAAATAGTTTCCTCCATGTCTGGCACAAAATAAACAAACATTAAATTAAAGTTTGCTTTTACATGTTTGTCTGAAATTGGACTTCTGTTATTTGTATTGGATATATTGTGCAATTTACATATATGGAAATCCAACAAAACTGCATGATATATATCTTTTCTTTTTACAAAATTCTGCACGTTCTTATAATTATATTCATGCTGTGCATAGCCTGCGTAGTGCGCATTTGCTTATTTTGCAGAAAAAGAAATAATTCCTAACAAGAGTCTTCAAAACAAAAATGTTTTATTGGAGAAATGTTAAAAGAGATTAAAAATTTTCGATACATATATATGGGCATTTTTCTTCTCAAAACTGGAATAAAGTATAATGGCAGCGCAAAATTGTTAATATTTCTGAGCTTTAAAAGATTTCAAGGAATTTTCTGAAAAAAAATAGATTTTTTGATTTTATTAGAATCAAAATAGAGCTGGATATAGTCAGGATTCTTAAGATGGTAAAATGTCGTAAATCTTGTTTTTATATTCATGGTCCAGCCCTTTCATCCTTCATGCTTGGGCCCTTGGCTGCAATCATGAAATTGTAAGGATCTAAAGTTGATTTTGAAAACAATTCAACCTACGCCATTATATTCGTAATTAAATACAAATATACAAAATCTAATCCTATATATATCCTATATTATGTTGATTCAAAGAATCTTTTTCCTTTTGGCAATGGGATATTTTCCAAAGGAACTGAACACTCTAGAGTCACAAACTTTGAAACCTGATGGTGTACTTTGATAATCCAAACTTAGATTATTTGATTTAACATAATTTTCATAGTTTGATATATGAAAGGTCTACGAGGTTGCAAAGATATATGGAATATAAGAGTATTAGCGAGTATTCACGGTGAACTAGAGGTCTTGGTTAAAGATCGAGCAAGTCTTAACTTTAGAATCCATTTAATATAGGTTTTTCATATTTGCTGTTGAAACTTTTTGGCTGGGCAATGCATTTTAAATATTTAAGTAAACCATGGATTTTACGCTATATTTGACAGATTTTGATTGAGAGATCATAATATGCACTTCGTTGTATAAAGTTTAACGTGTTTACAGCCCATGGCAATAATACCTCTTATTGTTTAAACGCGTAACCCATATACCTTCATCAAATATTAAACTGCAGCTCATAACATCGAAAACCTTTTTCTTCATCTTGTCTTACTTGGGGATTGAGTAAATTTTCGGCACCATCCAAAATTTCTCTCAATTTGTTTCCGTCTCCCTTACATGAAATTGTAGCAGCCCCTGATAGATCTATGTATCTTGGTTTTCATGTTTAACTCAATTATAATGATATAGGATTATCAGGTGGGTTGGGTGCGGGAACAAATGGGTGTTTTCTTCTAAACTTGAATAATAGTGTTCACACTTAAACCCTAAAAACCATTTTTCTTTTAATAAAATATACACTGTTAAAAACATCCTAACATTTTACTTTTTAGTTCCGATAGTATTTTAAACTTTGAATTAAACATTTCGAACAGAATGTTAGATGTATAAACAATTATGAGCTATTTTTAACATTCTCTTCATTATTTCGAACAAAAAAGTTCACAATTTAGAATTAACGTAAGTCTACTTGAAAAAAATGAGGTTATTAGATGTGATATTTGTACATTATACGTTATTAGTGATCATATTTCAATTTTTGATATTACAATAATTAATTAGTTTAATGTTTATTTATATATGTATTATGGATATTGTACAAATATGTAAAACATTTTTCAGTTATGATTTCAAAATAAACATTTTTCTTTAAAAATCTGCTTAATTTTGAGCCTTTAAGATTTTCTGTTCACGATCTCATTTCATTATACATCTTAAGGTTTTATTTTCGGTGATTTCAAATCTAAGACTACTATGTGGTACCGGTTGGTTTGAGCCGGGACAATAAAGTGGGTTTCAAAACTGAGACAACTTTATTGTCCCGGCTGACTATTGTTTTGTTTAGGTGGTATTCCTGTTCTTCTGTCTCCAGGAATCCATAGTTTTCCCTTTAAACTTGGACTCCCTGTAGGACTCCCTTCAACCTTCCTTGGTAAACATGGTTGGGTTCAGTACTATTGTAAAACCGCCCTCAAGGAGGCCAGCGGGCTCAGCCACAAGAACCAGCAGGTGTTCATCGTGATGAACCCAATAGATCTTAATCATGAACCAACTATACTAGCAGTAAGTATTTTTCTTTAGTTTTCTGCATTTGTAACATTAAACACTTGCCTCCAAATGTATAACTATTTACACATCTCTGACCCTTTAGTAAAAGTAAATTTAACCTGAAGTCTGACCGCGTCAACCTTGCTGCACCGGCTAGTCCTGTTGATTGGCTGCTTTATGTACCGGGCGATACAGTACAAACTGGGACCGGAAAGGTTGACCCGGCTTGAAAATTCTATTGTACTTCGGCTGCCCGTGATATTTACAGCTTCTTTAGATGGAATTTTACTTAACCCTAAGTGTTCCAAAATCAAATCAAAATCCAAAAATGATTTTGGTAAGAACACAGTAGTGAAATAAATTTAAATTTCCCGAAAAATTAGTTACTAGTTTTACCACAATATTATCGTCTTTTGAGATAAAATGTGCAAATTTTTCACAAAAACTTTGTAAAGGGGGATGATGTTTTATTTAATTATCCCAAGGGGCAGTTAAGTAACTTAACAATTCACTGCTGGGGAAAATCATGGGTCGATTATGTTGGTCAAAAGACGGTTATAGTTTTCTAATTTCTGTATCTTTGCAATCTATTGGTGAAACTGTATACTGTATTGTAGCAGAGTTGATAATTTGTTTGATATAATGCATAATTACATAATTGTTAAATGATTAGTACTCTAAATTGAAAATGCCCCATCACGATATCTACTTAAGAATAGAGAGGAACAGAGGATGATGTTTTCTTTTACATTATATTCTTTCAAACAATTTTGCAAAACAAAAATTAAGAACTAATTGTATATTTTAAAATCAAAATGTAATTTTTTTGAAGTAAATAATATATAGAGTATATAATATATAAATCATAAAAGATATAAGGACAATTCGAGGTCAAAATTTGGCATAATGTACGAAAAGTAAATGTTTTCGAAAATATTTATTCTAAACATTTGCTCTACTTGCACTATGCCAAAATGTTTATCTTGACGGATAGTTGATACTAAATACAAACTTGATCTTACGATTGGTTTTTCGCTGTTCTCTTCTTTAGTTTAAAAATATTGCAAAATTTAATAATTGTCAATTTCATCAGAGTCAAGTTTTGAAATCTTGAAATTTTTTTTAAAAGTTAAACAAAAACCCGAACCAACACGATTATAAACTTGAAAACTTTTGCACAGTGCACACATTATTAGAAGAACCCCCTAAAAGTTTTAACTTTCAATTTTCAACTACGAATATTTTGCTCGAAATAACGAAAAAAATTGTTAGAGATAACCAACAATTGTGAGACATCTCTTACATTCTGTTCATCATTCCGAACAAAATATTGTCATTTCGAAATGAACAAAAAAACTAAACTATTTATAATATTTCAGCAACCGTTCCATTGCGAGATAGAACACAAGCTGGGGATCACGTGTATGACGACGGGACCGGTCACGTGTCGGGTCCGACTGGACCGAGGAGGATACGTTCCAGGGGAAGCAATCAACATTTGGGCAACAATAGATAATCAGAGCAAAGTTACAATCAAGGGAACTAGAGCCTCACTTACAGAGGTAAATACTGTCCCCCTGATACAGGGATACCCACATATAGTGACAGACCGGCTCTGTAAGGTAGTTGAACTGAGTATGCATTTTGTAAACAAATTTTTTAGGATTCATTTGAGACATATAGAACTTTTTAATGATCTGTAAATCCTGAGTCGGCGTTCAAAATCGTACTTTTGGGTGGATACGTTTTCAGAATTGCTTTTTATTTAATTATTAAATAACGATCCGACAAAAAATGTAAAGAAAATTCTACAGTAAACTAATTAGTTGGTTAGGAACAGGTTGAGAAAATAAAAATTAATCTTATCATCGAAAATAAGTAATCTTGTTCAATATTAGTTTCTATTTTCTCATTATTCTTGTTTCTCATTATTCACAAAGATTTTCCGCAGATTTTCTGGAATTATTATTGAAAAGACGACAGTTGAAGAATTTATAGAAATCTGCGAATAAATTCATAGAAAATAAGAAATTCAATATAATGATGAAAACAAAACAAATGATTCTAGCATTGATTTATTGACAAATTTCTATTTAGAAATATGTTCCTAACCATCTAATTAGATGAATATATATTTTTTACTTTATTTTTCGTCGTCGATATTTAATAATTAAAAAAACTAATTCTGAAAACCTATCAACTCAAATTCATGTTTGAACGTCGACTATGCACTCAAACTCAGTAATTATACATCGTGAAAACGTTTTATATGTCTCAAATTAATACTGCATAATGCATACTCAGTTTAAATACTTACAAAGCCTGTATGTCCCTTTAAATAACGACCTTAAACTCTTTAATTAGAAAGATCCGAAGGTTAAATTAAAATTTTTCTACTGAATATCATAAATAAAGAAACCAATAAGTAGCTTTATGGAACCTAAAATTTTAGAAAGAAAATAACATTCAGAGTTTTTAAAAGTCTCATTCTTTGTGAGTAAACCTGTATGTAAATATTTTTTGTGGCAAATCTTATTACCTAACTTATTTCTAACTAAATAATGTACAAATATATATACATATGTGATTTTGTTGAGTGTGCAAAGTACAAGTAAATTGTACATCATAGCTAAATCTTGCAGTACTGTAGCAAACAAACAGTCAAGTATTATAATTAAGTATATTTAGAAGATACAGTACTGTAGTAAACTTTTGTACATCTTGATGATACTGTACAGTATTCTAATTATGCACATCTAGATACAGTACAGTATTCTAATATTGTGCATCTAGATACAGTACAGTATTCTAATTATGTGCATCTAGATACAGTATGTGATCTAATTATGTACATCTAGATACAGTACAGTATTATAATTATGTGCATCTAGATACAGTACAGTATTTTAATTATGTGCATTTAGATACAGTATACTAACTATGTACATCTGGATACAGTACAGTAAGAAATCTAATTATGTACATCTAGATATAGTACAGTATTGTAATTATGTACATCTAGATACAGTACAGTATTCTAATTATGTACATCTAGACGATCCAATACATCACTAAGAACAAGGTGATGGAGACGGAGTCCCGGGAGCTGGCCGCTGTCTCCAGGGGTAAAATAAGACCTGGAAATACAGATGATTGGAAGTCTGAGCAACTATTCGTCCCACCCCTCCCACCCACAAACCTCAGGGGTTGTCACATGATCAGAATACAATACGACGTTTTTGTAAGTTTTGTATGTTAAACCAGCATGACTTTATAAGTTTTGTTGCTGAAAACGAACGTATTCTCTGAAAGTTCTGAACTCCATAAGAAACATTGATATAAAATATTTTTACTTCTGACCCAAAATTTAGATTTATTGCCATAAAAATGTTAAATGTCTCGTAAATTCCTATTATCTTATACCACAATGATTTTCATGTATTATTCTAAAAGGAAATGAGTCTTTGTCACAAACTCAAACTTTATAATCCCTATATCAGTGCAACCGGATGTTGTAAAACTTTGATTTTTCAAACTTGGATTATTTTTTCTAACAGAGTTCATAGTTTAAAATATCTAAGGTCTTCTAAGACATTGCAGGTTGCGAAGATAGGCATAACAAATTAGATTTTGTGGCAAAAAAATCAATTCTTTTCTAGATGTTTTACTATAGATTAATTTCCCAGAAACTGCATTTAAAGGAAATTCCATAAGATAAGATGTACTGCAGTTACTGGAAGGAATATAAACACACGCAGTGCTGTCCAGGCTAAGCTTTGTTTACAGTACCATGTTTGTTAACATTTTTTCAAGATACTGCAGTACATTTAATTTGATTTTAAATATTCTTAGTTTAGTTCTAATCAAGGAATATAAAAGTATCTGTAATTGGATAATGTGTACTGCAGTTTAAGGGAGGAATGTAAACAAGCTTAGCCTGGGCAGTATTATGTGTGTTAACATTTCTTATAAGAAAATGCAGTACAATTAATTTGAGTTATTATATTCCTAGTTTAGTTCTAATCAAGTAATAAAAAAGGATCTATCATTAGATTATGTGTACTGCAATTTCTGGGAGGAATGTCAGCAAAGCTAAGCCTGGACAGCACTGCGTGCATGTATACATTCCTTCCAGAAGCTACAGTACAATTTATTCCCGTTATATTCCATGGTTCTAACTCTTCTAACCCGCGTGATGATATATCTTGTTTGATTTAGTTTATCGTAACCCCGAGTAACCTAGAGAAACCTATCAAGCTTCAGCTTCCTATCCTTATAGCTACATATCCGCTTAGAAATGAAGATGGAACCATTAGAAGGTAAATATTAACACACCTCAGACTATCATCAAGGAACAACCGATAAATATCAGGCGCTTAATTTCAGATTATTATCTCTTAACATGCACAATGCCAAATACACCAATGAAACCTAGGTAATAATAAAAATAAGGTATAATTCTTTGCATAAAACCATGTATTTGAATTCTTTAAAAGGATATTTTCAGAACCTCTTGCGATTTAATCCGAGAAGTATTTGGTGGGGGCGCAAATTTTCCTCAAATTCTAAAATTATAGGTTTTAGGTTCGTGAAATAAAAGATTTAAATATTGGGAGTGGAAATTTGCATTTAAGATTCTCAGAAATATTGAATTAATGTCCTTATACGCTCATTTAGCTTCAACAACCCTTTAAAAGAATTCTTCAGTATTTTTATTGTAAAATAGACTTGAACTAATGATGGTTCGAATTAACTCTAAAAACGTGAGAAAATGTAGGAACTAAAAGCAAAGAGAATAGAATAAATCAGAGTGGAATTTACTCAAAAAAGTGTAAAACGGCCATTTTGTTGTACTGTTTCCATACTGCAGGCGTACTTCACACATTTGTGCTATATAACCTTATGGGCCCTGGAATATCATTTTATAGAAAAGTTTTCTTGAACATTATTTGATTTTCTCTAAATCAATTCTTTGATAGCCTGTTATGCATTCATTTCAGCATAAGCTTTGATAAAAATCAATTTGATGTTTTTACTTAGTAAAAAACATATTTTTTAATTTGAGGTAATCAACTAAACAGTAAAACCAATAATTTTTGAAATGCTCAAGATACCAAAATATTTAAATTGAGGATGAGGAAGATGAATGGTTATTAACTCTTTAATTTCAATTTTATAACTTTTATACAGTAGGACTCATAAAACTGTGAAATGGAAGGACAACATTTAACCAATCTAATTTATGTTTGCTAAGTTTTGTAGTATTGTTAGAAAGTTAAACGGCTCTGAGACAGCAAAGGGGTAGAACGTTTAGATTCTTAAATTATATTTTAAGAAAGAATTAAAAACATTTTCCCTGTGGAACACTTAGTAAATAAAAAAATGTTTATTTAAATAAAGATAATTCTTTTGTTTTTGCACGCAGGTAGCTTGGAATTTGCTTGGGGGGGGGGGGGGGCCATTTTTTTGGACCAGAAAACCTAAGAAAAGTTGGAAATTAATGACTCATTGCACATTATAGTTTCTTGATAAAAAAGTATTGCTCGGGGTTCAGTTTGAGTGCCAAGCTTTTGGCCTGAAATGGATTTTTTTTGAGCTTTTAACAGCATTTCTCTTTTTAATGTCATTTTCTTGAAGTAAAAATAATTTATGGCTATTTAGTATTTGTAATAGCTCAAAGGAAAAGAAAAAATATTGCAAAATTTCAGACAAAATATCTATCTAAATTGCCTTTGACAAAAGGAAGCATATTGCATAAATCTTGCAGGGAGGTTTTCATTTTTTGCTTTGTTATTGGATTTAAAAAATTATATTTTGATATTTTCAAATTTGAAATTTTTTTTTTTACTGGTTCATCAACAAAGCTCGATCTCTGAATAACAATGTGGGAGATATCATCATTTTCTAAATCCCTGAAAAGGAGGGGGGAGGAGTGAAAAAAATGTTATCCCCCCCTCCTGGCTTTATCCTAGAATCCCCTTGCTAGAATCGTCTTCTAATTGTTTTGCTTTTTGGGTGTTTTTGTTTTACAATTAATTTAAAACAAGATATTAATTGCAGTATACACAAAAGAGTCTGAAGCAAAAAAGATTAACAATTTTGTAGGTATTCACTTTACAAATGCGTATGATTTGTGAACATTTACATGAACTGTACACGTTGAAATCCCTTTCAGGCTGAAAGGGACTGACAAAATTCATACCGAGGGATTGTTTAATTTCCACTCTAATTAATATATTCTATTCTCTTTGATTCCAAGTCATTCAGAAATTCACGAAGATCATGAACACCCTTTCCCGTTTCACGATACGCCTTCACAATTCACAATTTATACAACATTTTCGCAATTTCTGGATATTCCGTCTACATACATATTTAACTGAAATGGACTGTAAACGTAATTGTATATTAAACTTTTATTGCGCAAAAATAAGAAAGATATCGTCGGTTTTCTGTTTATTTCCATCGTTGTCACTTTTAAACTGAACCCATAATTGAAAATTATCAATTTTTTACAAAAAACAAAACAAGAACATCTTGAAACTAAGGTTTAGGGGTCCCGCTCTGACTGGGGGATAATGCTCTCTAAAAATTGATACCTTGAAATTGAAATAGCATCCCTTAAAGAAGAAGAATTATCTCAAATTTTAATATTTTTACTTATTTGAGTAGGTGTGTTTTTGTCAAATCAGATAGGTGCTTAGATTAAACAAAAACTTAAATTGCTTTTGTTAATAAAGCATGAAAATCCTCTTAAACTTAAAGTTGAGGAATCACTGGTTGAAAATGTATTAAAAGTAGTGAAATTGTCGATTTTTAAAAGTATTGACTCACTTACTATTTTAGGAAAACGAAGGCCGAATATCCAACGACCCTGCCGATTTTTCGGCCGTGGCTGGACGAAAAAAACTTATAAAAACTGAACTGTGAACCCTCTTATAGTGCCATCTTCAGAGCCGACAAAGCTCTGAAACCTGCTCATTCGCGCATTCTAGCGCAACGGCACAACTCACGTGCGCACAAGCACATTAAGAAACATGAACGCCCGGCCATCTCGAAAAAATATCAAGTTTGAAGAGAAAATTGAAAATAATCCTATGCTTAACAACCGTATTTTTATTAAATGAAAAGAATATTGTAAGTTATAAAATTCTAAATTCTAATTTTCTGCATAATTCCAGTGAGTAATGAAGAAATGATAAAATATTATACAATGAGTATTTATATCAACTATATTTATATTCAGTAATTTCAAGTGAACCTTTATTTGTAGAGTGGCACGTCCGATTCTCGACAGTACATTTTTAAACCATCAGCAATTTTAAATTTTTTTTCTGGAAATTTTTTTTAAATTCTGACCATTTCTTTCTTTCTCTACTGTTGCAGAAATGTACGAGTCACTTTTATACATAACTGTAATTGAAAATAATTCATTTTTTAATATTGGAAAAAGAGATAACTCCCTCATTTTTGCTCAGGTAGATTGTTAAATGGTACCGTTTTGAATCGGAAATGCTTCTTTATAAATTAAGGGTAAATTGAAATTTCGCCTACAGACCCTTTAACTTGTAAAATCCTAGCCGCTGTTCCATGATACTCTCTTCTAATCCCAACATTTGAATCTAAATCTGCAATGAATAAATGAATGTTAATATTAGCTAAAAGTAACAAAACTACATTTTGTTGAATGCAAATGTTTAAATTATCTAATAAATTGTTTTCAGTACAAAAAATTTAAATATTCACTTAAAACATCTAAAATATGTTTCATACAAAAAATTATTTTAACAGACTTGATAATAATTAAATATAAATGAATTGGGTCTCCCAAATTCTTAACAAATAAAACTAAAATTAAAATGTTTTTGGCTAAGACAGATTCAGTTTGTAAACTTTAAACTAAACTGCATTTTTGCTAGCTAATCTCTCTTAAATAAATCTTGTACTATGAGATCCATAAAACTTTGGAAAAGAAAGACGACAGTTTAACTCAAAATATGATTTTAACTTTGCTTATTGAAGATATATCACAGATCCATTTTACTAAATTAGTTGATATTTTATCTACTACTAAAACTTTTTGCTTTATCACAACATCAAATATTCAGAGACATCTTTCTATTCCACAGTTTTATGGGTCTCACGAGGGAGGGAATCCCGGGGCGCCATGAGCCTCGGCAATGCAGACACGAGCCTCCCAGATTTGCTAAACAGACCGATACTCCGCTATGCAGACAGTGCCTTCACTATGCAGTAAACGAGCTTCCACCATACAGCACAGTTTATTTTCAATCTTGGTTTTTATGTGTAATGAAAAATGTTGAAAAAATGGTTTTTGGCGTAGTTACATAAGAATTTTACTTAAGATTAGTTATTTATTGATTGTCATGATTGCAAACATATATGGACTCAATCAGTGGTTTTTATACTAAAACTTTAAACATTTCTTACGCAGAAAGGAAGATATTTGGAGAAATATTTCTGGGGTTAATCTAGTTTGTTTTGTTGCAATCTTTGATTTAAACAATACCTTTTTTGAAAAATGCCACTATGTCGAAAAATTTTAAAAAACTTTTATTTAAACTTAAAACACAAGTTTTAAAAAACCTCGTGTATTACACAGGAACATTTTGATGTGTTGCGCATGCTCATTTCTGCATACCGGTGGCTCGGTCTGCATAGCAAATCTGAGAGGCTCGTGGTGTCCGGGGGTTCCCTCCCTCGTTTCACTGAACTGTGTAATTATATATTACAAAATCAAAATTTCTTGAACGTTGAATATTTTGTTTATTTGACACTGTTTAGTCACAATTTTTATACCAGTGTATTTGACAAAATATAATATAATTTAATTTTTTATTTCATCAATTTATTTTAGAAAAGTATATTTCCCAGAAACTCCTGTACTTAACTGTCGGCAAGGGATAATAAATAATTCCTTGTTGAAATATCTAAAATGAAAAATCTATCCCCGCCCCTCCCCTCCCTTCCTGAACATGAGAAAAACACTGGAGTGTGAACTATAAAATAAAATATTTAACAGAGTTAAAAAATACTAAGAAGAATATTGTTGCAAACGAGGGAAGAAGGGCAAGCTGCAGTTAAGTTTTTCATCCGAGTCTGCATCCAACAGAATTATCCAAAGGTTGCCAGCCCTCACGCAAAAAATCGATGAGAATTTTACCAATAACTTCTTTATAACTAAAGCTTTAGACATGTGCTTAACAGTTCTAATTTTACAATTTATATATACAATATTACTTTTCTTATTCTTCGGTGTGAAATACAAATTATACAAGGTCGCAAAGTTTTACTCGTAATTCAACATAAATTTGACCCTTTTACCTGGTAATATAAACTAAAAAGACAAGGACAAAATAAAATGTTTATAACTTAGGGGTAAACACTTCTAGGTGGTTCATAAGTAGGGTTTCTAAGAAATGAACATATTTTTTGCGAACCTTTGAGCACGAAGCGCAATATGTTTTGCGTAATTTTTTTGCACAATTTACGCAAAACGTAAATTTAAAATATATTTCAAAATTAAAGTATATTTAAAATAACATATTTTAAGCAAGCAAATTGAGTCATGGGAGTTTCAGTCAAGTTACAGCACATAATCAAACAACTGAAGGTTTATTTATTCAAGTTACAGCACAGAATCAAACAACTGAAGGTTTATTCAATCAAGTTACAGCACAGAATCAAACAACTGAAGGTTTATTCAATCAAGTTACAGCACAGAATCAAACAACTGAAGGTTTATTCAATCAAGTTATAGCACAGAATCAAACAACTGAAGGTTTATTCAATCAATTTACTTACAAACAAAATTATGATTATGATACTCTGAATTGGTTTATTTTTAGTAACACACAAATTAATAAAATAGAAATTAGAAAATTGAAAATTTAAAAATATTTCAAACGTTGAGAAAAAGTCAAATTCATATGATTGAAATATCAAAGGGTTATGCCCACTGAGATATAGACAACCCTGAGATATCAAATTTATATACAGCCTAAACTTTGAAGTGTCCCAACACCTTGGCCTTTGGTTTTACCTCACAAATCATTAATAATTTTTTTTCTAGGCAGGAACATATACATTTCAAAAATACTACGTCTGTTTCTACTTTAAGTTTGGAGTAGTTAAAATACTGCTGTTCACAGTTTACATATTAATCAACCTTTTAATGAGAATATGTTCCGCAAAATTGCGCAAAACAGAATGATGCAAAAGCGGATCAGCGACATTTAGCGCGAAATAAAAATTGTGAATGATTGCGCAAATTGCTATTTTTTTCGCGCAAAAATGTGGCGCAACGCGCATAAGAGAAACTTGGGTGAGTGCGGCTCGGATTAATTAAAGTAGCTGCCTCTCTTCCTCGGCCTCGCAAAGCCATTCCAAGTTGAAATGGGTTCTTTAACACTGGGATGGGGAGCTAATCCTTTAGAATCTAGACCAAAAAAAACAGGTTAATTACCGCTAGGGGCTCTCAATCTTATTTTTAGTGATAATTTCTATATCATTCATACCTGATAACCTGTTTCGTTTTGTGGATTTCTACAGCAAAAACGAGAAAGAAAATGACAGATATTGGCATAAATTTATACATAAAAACCATATGTTAACTGTCATTTTTCAGATTAAGGTTGTGAGTAATCTTTAATACTTTTTAATGAAGGGATGAGTAAAATATGGGTTGAAAACTGGTTATCAGACTGATATAAAATATTTAGTTCTGTCTGCATGGTGTTCAACAGGTCAAATATGACCCTGTATTCCAACCTCAGGAACATGTTGGATGAGACACAACATTTGTAAAGGATTAAAAATATTTTTTTTACTCCGCTTTTCTGTCTGTTTGTTTGTATCCAATCAGCGTCAAAACGGCTGAACCGATCGATTCCAATTTTTGTGACACATCTCATGACCCCGGGAAAGGTTAATAGATGATTAAAGGTGAAAATTTTGCCCAGAAAAAAATATCAAAAAATCAAAAAAATCTGGGCAATACTGTTTACAAAGCAAATTTGCAACGGTTAACAGCTAAAATTGTTACTAGAAAAGTGTCTCTCAGTACTCTAAAAGTCTAGCAAAGAATATTTTCACGGTACTGTACAAAAGTAAAAAAAATGTTTTCCTGGAGTTGTTTATTTGGATTTTTGGCTTGATAAGCTTGGCGAAGGATTCTTTAGACAACATTTGATTATTTCTTATTAATTCTCCAACATTTGTTCTTCTTGTCCAGAGCTGGGAACTCTTGTATTGTGGATATCGAGATCAATGCTTCACTGTAATTCCGCCGTCTAAAAGCATCCGGCCTCCTGTTCCACCTCTACTACCATTTTCCATCCATATTCTCCATATATATACTTTGCTTGTCTGTCTGTCCGTGTGTGTCCAATAAACGTAGAAAACGGCTTAACCGATCTGGCCGAAATTTTTTTGTGGGACCTCACATGACCCCAAAACTTTTTTGATTTTCGTAAAATTTCTAAAATCAACAAAAAATTATAAATTCGCAATATTTTTTATTTTTGTTTTATCAGATTTTCTCGGGAAAATGCTGAAGGATTGAACAACAATAAAAGTTGAAATAGATGTGCGGCATGCCCTAAGCGTCCTGATAGTCTAGTATTTAAAAATGCAGTTTAACACTATTGTTAACTTCATTCCTGTACATCATTAACGTACTGTCAAATGACCCTAGTGCCTTAGAACTGAACTGTTCTTTTTTAATATAAGAATTTTAACCATCCTACTTTATGTAGTAGATCGTGTACTGCATGTACGCTTATGGTAATTCCAGGTACTGCAATATTTTCATCTCTTCTACTTGATAATTTTATCAGCTTCAGCCAGAAGAATACAACAACCCCATTTTATTTTTAAGCCTGGGACATTTTATCTGATTTAAATTATAAAATAATAATATAGTAATTTATTTAATGTCTAATAGTAGTTATATAAATATATTTCATCATAATTCATAATTATCAAATTAATGTTAACATAAAATGCTAGAAAAATCAAGAAATATATACAAATAAATGTATTATAGGAATTATGGAAATAGCCGAAAGGTTTGAAACAAAGAATAAATGTAAAAAATACGACAAAGTCAAATTTTCTAAACAATTTATCTTTGCAACCTGATGGTGTAAACCTTTTCTAACTTATTTGATCCAACAGAATTCTTAGTCAAAATATGTCTTAGACATCGGGTTGCAAAGATATAGAGATTAGAAATTAAGAGTTGGTTCTGTAAATAAGTACTGAACAAAATCCACAAATTCCAAAGGTATGAATTGTAGTTTTTTTTGTATTCCCTATGTATAAATGTTTAAATAAATCAAAGTAAGCATAAAGTTGAACATTAAACAAAACTATAATCAATGTATTTGTGTTTCCAAATTTGTTATATCTTTTTTTTCTCAGGGAATGAGGGAATTAAATTTTTTTTTTGGTGGGGGGGAGGGGATAAAAAGCATCAAATATGGAGAAAACAGAAAACCCTAGGGGAAACTTTACCAAATATATTCCCCTGATGTATTATTAAATATGTGAGTAAATTTAGTAAATAAGAATTTCGAAAACAAAATCCTGAATCCTAAACTTGTCTCAGTCGGGCCAAACGCTGGGACAGTTCATCCTAAAGTTAATAACGTTTAGTTCTTTGATTTAACGAAAAGTTTAATCAATAATCTTGATTAATTCTTGTAATTATTTGATTTATGTAGTAATTAAATTAATTTAAGAGTGGGAGGGAATGCATTTAACAAACATGGTTTTATTTTCGATAAAATAAACTGGCTAAATGCAATCTAAATTTAATGAGAACAAATTTCAAGAAGAGTAATTATAAATCAACTAAAAATTAAATAAAAAACTTCAGAATTCTGATATGCTCTCCTAAATGTTTTCCCTTCGAAATTATCCCGCTATTTTTCTTGGGTATACCGGCTGCAACTAACCTGTTCTGTAGAAGCAGCTGTAGATTGACCGATAGTTTGAACAGCTGCTCCAGGTAGCTCCATGTTCAGCTCCAATCCCGCCTCGTCAGCAGCCTAAATGTAAAGAAGAAATCATATATCTGATATCACCCTTTTTGGTATTTATCCTCAATTTAAGATGTTGGTCTATCAGCACTGCACTGCAGATTCTGAAGGCATTTCTTCTTTTATAAAACTAATAAGTCTTGCGGATTTTCGAGTTGTTGTAATACTTGACATACTTGACTGCCTCTTAATGTCCACCATATTATATTGTGTAACTTATTGTAAACTATTTGCAAAGTTTGTTTCTGATAATTAGGCATTTGGTGTTGTCACTACTTAAACAAGTTAAGAACAGAACAACAAGATAAGTCTCAAACTTAAAACCAGAGCAGCAACATAAGTTTTTATGATAACACAAAAAATAACAAACATGAGTAGATAGATTACTAGTAGTTTACTAGATAGATGTGAGGAGAAATTCTTGAATGAAATGTAATGGATTTTTATTAAAAAACAAAATAAGAAAAAAATGTTTTCCTGTCATAGCATTTAATAACGTCTAATCTTCTTATTAACTGGTCTTTACCTTGTTTTTCCTCAAAATATTTTACACTTAACTATTTTATTTTCCTAATATTATTATTACTAAAGGGACTGTTGTCGTTATTTTAGTTAAGACTTCATCTAAAGAATAATATTACGTTATACAAACGGTATCCTTCTTGAAAAATCATTTTTCTTCTCCCCCCCCCAGGTGGAGGGGGGTTATTTTTAAAAATGTAAACCCCTGAATCCTTGAGAAATTTGATAATTGATAATTTTCAAATGAGTTTTCTGCGATTAAGTGACTTGTGAATTTATGTCACAATGTTTCTACATATTGATCTATGTTAAAGGATACCATTGTGAATCGGGTATATAATACTTTAAATGGAAGGTCAGACGAAATACTGTGATCAATCTCTTCAATAAATAATTTCTATGCAAAGAGAACAAAGAGAGCAGAACTCTTGGTATTGACAGAAAACTCTGAAATTGGAATTAATCTGATTATATTCTTAATACATTCTAGGTAGGTTCTAGATAGGTTCTAGATAGGTTCTAGATATATTCTAGATATATTCTTGATATATTCTAGATATATTCTAGATATATTCTTGATATATTCTTGATATATTCTAGATATATTCTTGATATATTCTTGATATATTCTTGATATATTCTTGATATATTCTTGATATATTCTTGATATATTCTTGATATATTCTTGATATATTCTT